GGGGACAGCATTCTGTCATCACCAATTGTTTAGAGAAGTTCCTTGAGTTGAGTTCTGAAAGATGAGTGGATTTTGATTGATACAAAATCAATCAAAAAATTGATGACTTCTTTGGATTTTCTGATGGGTTTTTTACTCTACATAGATAGAAAGAAAATGTCCAAGACTGTATTTTCATAATCTCTCCCAGTATCTTACAGCCCACTACCCTGAGTCTCCATATCAGACCCTGTCTACCACTGCTGCTGTCAAATTTAACTTTAACTATATATCTGAGAGCTCTCCATTACCTTAAGAATACAACCAAAAATATACTGATTTACTTTATTTCATTTACATGTCCTTTTAGGTTATATGGTGCTTTTAATAGAGCTAATGAGAGATGAGTAATTATCTTTCATTTAAAATCTACTTAATGTTTTCATATAGATAAATGTTCTATTTAGTATGTATTACAGGTGGCTGTTTTAATGATTCATATTGCTATTTAAAATTAATTAATTTTAAAAACACAAGCCAAGATTATTTTTACACTATAGTCTCTGTCGGTGCTCAGAAATTTATACGTTTTTCAAAGATATTAATAGCTATTTATATAGTTAATTTGGCAATGACTTATTAAAGAAATATATTTCCGTTCTTGGGTCATCCTGAAAGCACTGATTTTAATTACAGCATTAACCTTCAGACACATTTTCCTCTCCTTTATAATTAATAATTATACAGTACAGTAAAATCTATAATCTTAGGAGCAAAGCCAAGTAAAATAAAAATGAAATGCTATCACTTTACTTAAAAAATCTACCTAAGTCAGAAGCCTTGTTAGTCTGAGACAGGGGGATTGTGCCAAGGGGGAGGTGCTGTCTCCTGTCTGTGCTTATAGCACTTATTGAAAGTAAGTGTTCTAGTTGGGCATGGTGGCTCATGCTTGTAATCCCAGTACTTCGGGAGGCCAAGCAGGACAGATTACCTGAGGTCAGGAGTTGGAGACCAGCCTGGCCAACATGGTGAAACCCCGTCTCTACCAAAAATACAAACATTAACAGGGCATGGTGGTGTGTGCCTGGTCCTAGCTACTCAGGTAGCTAAGGCAGGGAATTGCTTGAACCCGGGAGGCAGAGACTGCAGTGAGCTGAGATTGCGACCACAGCACTCCAGCCTGGGTGACAAAGAGAGATTCCATCTCAAAAAAAAGAAAAGCAAAAAGAAAATAAGTGTTCCTTACTTTCAATGAGATTTTTGTTGTTTTTGTTAGAATAAAACATGTTAGACATATTTTATTTCATGTCTGAGGATGAAATTACTGACAAGACCACCTCCTAATTTAGGGGTACACAAATACAGATATCAAACTGCATTAACATTCAGAATGTTTTCAAGTACTTTCACATAGTACACAAATGTTATTCTGTAATAAATATCTTTCAAAATAGGTTCAGGCCACCTAGAAAAAAATTAAAAGAAACATTCTTTATTTAGAGTATTTATATCATCTGTGCTTTCTAATGACAGACCCCAGGCGCAGGCATTTAAAAAAATGTGGATAAAATCTAAAGATACATGTTTATCTTGTCATGTAACTGAGCCTCAGTTTAGTCTTTCATAAACTGGGGATCAAAATATCCATCTTAAAGGGTTGTCATGAGGATTAAATGAGCTCGTGAGTGCAAAGCCATCATTTTAATATGTGACACATAGCAAGGGCCTAAGAAATTGTAAATATTACTTATTACTATTTTATTTTTTAGAACTGAATGTACTTAGTCCAATTTTTTTTCTAGAGAAAGTTTTTGCCTGATCACCTGCTACCTTTCCTGCTTCCCTCATGGTTAACTAATACCTGATGTTCCCTCTCAGCCTTTGGTAAAATTGTGAATTTGACAAAGGTAGAGTTAGTCTCCCTTTCTACCACATCTCATCCCTCGCCTAGCTCTGCCCCATAGATCTCATTCAGCACCCCCAGCTGGTCATGGCCAGCTTCCACCACATCCCTCCAGTGGTGTGGCAGATATTGATTTAAGTGGCTCCATTAAGGCTGTTCGCAGTAGGCTAAACGAACAGGGCTAAGACTCCTGAGATTTTGCTCCTTAACCAGTTCGTTCATTACCTGTCTTTGACTGAGTTAAAGCACTGCTCTTAGACTCCAGACCCAGCATCTGTGGGGTGTTTTTGCGCAGATCTAATTATAATTAATACAGACACTTTGGGGATAGGCTGTACAGACAGTAGTTGTTGTGAAACCTACTCATCTTTCAAAACTCAAAGAATGCTGTCCTGATCCCCACTCTCCCATCCCAGGTGGAACTGGGTCATACTGTATCACAGCTTCTGTTTGTTTGCACTTCTGCCTCCACACATTAGATATTCTTTGTTTTAGATTTACAAAACTTTTCTGACTTTTACACCCTAGAACACACAGAACCAACTGTGAGTCATATTTCAAAATTTATTATGTGTCATGTTCTGCTATGTTTCCAATAATCTCAAATTGTTCTTTTTTCCTGCAAAAAGTTAAAACATTGAGGAGATGTAATAATTTCAGGACTGGGCCCAAGACCATGTTCTCTGAAGCTCTGAATACCCACTGCCTAACACAGTATCTGATATTCAGCAGGGACTTAACAACACTTGAGAAAATAATTGAAAGAAAATTATTTAATAGAGGACTCAGGAAGATTAAAAACCTTCAAGAGGTAAATGAGTCTCTAAGGGTAAAGAGTCAGATGTCATGACAGTAGGTGAGGAAATAATTTCAGATCTGCTGGCATTCCACAGATCACACTGCATGATACATTGAGTATTGTTTAAGGGCTTCTTCACACAACAAGGCATAAAACTTTTCAGTATAGTTACTGATGCCAATGTAGACAAGAACTCTAAAAAGCACCCTTTGTCATCATTATTCTATGATTGCAAGTCTCCTCTTTAAAAGAGCAAAGAAAAATTGTTGCTGTTAGAGAATTCTTTCTTAGATACACAGTCATCCCTCTGTATATTTGGGGGATTGGTTCCAGAACCCCCACACATATCAAAATATGAGTATACTCAAAAACCACCAACCCATGTTTACAAAAAGTCAGCCCCTCCATATACATGGGTTTCAAATCCCATGAATACTGTATTTTCTATTTGTGTTTGGCTGAAAAAAATCCACATATAAGTGGACCTCCGCAATTTAAAGTGGTGTTGTTCAAGGGTCAACTATAGTGAACTTTGGTTTGTTATGACTTTTGTTACCATGAATTTAGCCTGTATATGAATTCAAATGAATCAAGCTCTTCCTGTGACTCCTGCCCCCATTAGTCCCATATTAAATAACACGGGTTCCAATCTTCTTTAAATTTTCATGCTCTGGCTTCATAATAAAGCTTTATAGTTGGTTTTTATCATTTGTATCACCCTGGGGAAGGAGAGAGAATTGGATGTTCATTTTGCACATTATTTTAACCTCGGCTAATGGAAACTTTAACTTCCTGTGCAGGTCAGCAATTTAAAGTTGGATTGTCCATAGAAATATTTCATTGTGGTTCATCCTAGAGGCTCTAAACTAGGAAAAGAATTGACTGGGCGGTGGGGTGGGGATGGAGGAGGTTCTCAGGTGAGGGTGTGTGAGGACCTGCTGCTGCTTCTCTGGAGGTTAAGGGGATTTATTACACTCACTCCTTAATGTTTCATGTGCAGAAAGAACTGTGTACATCCTAAATGTTAGTGGTGGAGGACGTCTTTGGCATGAAATATTCTCTTTTTTTGTTGCCAGTGAAGAAATAAAAGTTTTTGGTTGTTTATTTTCTTTGCTTTCAAAGAGTAGACTGTGGGAACTGTTTTGAGAATCTTGTTTTCCACATCGTGATCTCTGATTAAATCTCATTCACCATAGATATGATTTATATATCACAAATTTCCTATCCCTCACATAAGAGATGCTTGTCTAGGCAGAGTATGTAGAAGTCTCACCCTAACCTCCCACGGATGTCAGCCTTCCCTCCAGGGCGCTCTCTCTCAGTGCTCTCTCTTCACCTCTGCCTAGTTTATCACACTTACCATGTGTTTCCTGGCATTTGGTTGAGTAGAATTCTATCTCCCTTATTAGCTAAGTGTCTCCACTGAGGAGTCATTGCTCGCTTGTGTGTCCTGTTCACAGGTAGGGTGTATTAAGGTGTATTACCAATAAGTGTGAAGTCTTCCAGTTTGCCTCATTCCTACTTTTTAAATTTAACACATAAGAATGAATTCAAGGTTATCCCTATAACAATGTCGCTCTCATTCCCTTGCATTGATTGCACTGGGAATAACCCTGAGGTGCCCATGGGAGTGTATTAGGAATAGGAATGTCATCTGTCATGTGTTGCATGGAAGAAGGAAAAAAACAGATTGAAAAGCACAGTATTGAAGAATAAATTCTTTGATTAAAATGTCTGTGTCTAACTCATTTTGTTACCCACACGGGGCCTAGCATTATGCCTCACACATAGTAGGGGCTCAATAAATGTTTCCAGAATGAGCTAATGAATGAAACCCAATAGGTAAACACATTCCAGGGACATTATTCTGAAGAAGAAAAAAAATACTGCATTTTGGGGTTATTTTAGCATCATGTTTCAAAAAAGTGAATTTTCTTCTTGTAAAAGACTTCCTATAGGTAGAAATTGAGTCGCACATTGCTTACTGACAGCCCATACCACTGTCCAGACCTATTAGACACAAGGGTCACTTTCATAATCCACCATTGCAACATGCCTTATGTTTTTCTGCCTAGGTGGTTCTGGTAAATTGTCATCACAAGTTATTGCCATTGTGTCTAACATATTCTGAAGGAATAGGTGGCTGATACTGTCATTTGAGGGCTAAGAAATATTTGTCTAGACATTTGATCCAATCTGTATTTTTATTTAATGTGTAATTGGCGAGAAAATAGCAAAGACAAATTTAAATGCTTGCATCTCTAACCTTGTCACAGTGTCTGAGCATTCATTCATCATCATTATCTTGGATTCCTGCAGCCAGCAGATTTCATAGGAAAGCAAGCACTGAAACAGATTAAAGCCAAGGGGCTGAAACGAAGACTGGTGTGCCTCACCTTGGCAACGGATGATGTTGATCCAGAGGGAAATGAAAGCATCTGGTACAATGGCAAGGTGAGTGCTGAGGACCTCACTGCCAGTGGCTGTGGCATCTTCTGCAACAGAAACTCCCCTTCTTCCTGTTTCCTCTTAAACCCTTTTGCTATTAATTATTTATTGGAGGGATGACACACTTTTGATTTCTGAGCTGACATTAAAAAATCAGAACGCAATTAACTGAAAGGAAAATGAAATGCTGCTAATTTCTGGAAAACATAAAATTCTATATACTCTTTTTAAAGAAAATAAACCCAAAGACTTGAAATAAATACACTGGACAATGAGGACAGTGTGATTTAGAGGATAAAATGATCTATTTGCTCGCCACATCCATGTGTGTAAATGCAAAAGGTGGATTTTATAACAAATTTGGCATTCTGATTTAGCTTTTATGGATTTTTCAGAAGGAGACAGTCAGCGTATTAGCAGGGAAAACATCCAAATGAAAGCATCTATGACAATAGAGGGTAGAACCTTAGAAAGTAAAGTGAAAAGTGGAAACCATTTGGTTCTTCAGGAAGAGTAAAATTACTTTCTCATTTTGGAATGTTACTTTTCATTCTTTCTATTTGTATTCAGTAAAACCAGGGTTAGTCAGATAACTTATCAATGGGACTTTATTTTCTCCATTTTTTCTTCCAAGCTTTCTTCACTCAGTTATTTTCTCCATTTTTTTATTACGATTTGTAAAACCCAATTTGGCTCAAACCGGGTGTGGGTGTGTTTTGCCTGGTGTTAACAGGCATGTGTGGGACACACAGCTTAGACCAGGGGGAGAGAATGGGGCCTTCAAACCTCATCTGAACAGCTGTTCCACGATGAACGGGGTCAGCTTGGTCATTACCCAAGACTCAAAGCTTCTGCGCGCGGGTTTTTTTCTTATTCACTGCAGCCTACTTGATATTTGTTTACATTGTCTCCATCTCATCAGTAACACACGGAGTGCTAGACGTGAAGAAAGCCAGTGGTGTCAAATCACAGCCTTTGGGGCTAAAGCATGGGTCAGTTTGACATTGAGCTAACATCTCCTGAGTTCTTCCTGTATACCAGATATTTTTCATGTGCTCTCCCATTTAACTTTACAGCATGCCTGCGAGATATGTATGAGCATTTCCATTTTAAAGATGAGGCTTTGAGGGGCTCAGAGAGATTAAGTAACTTGCTTGAGGTTACATGGCTAGTGATTGATAGAACTGATTTCCAACCCAGGTGTAGTTTCTGACATTGAATTTCTGGCCCTTTCTTCTAAGGCATGTGGAACACTTCAATTTGATCTCTTTTCTGTCTCTGCTGATGTCCCTTAAGAATTTAATTTTTTTGGCCGGGCGCGGTGGCTCAAGCCTGTAATCCCAGCACTTTGGGAGGCCGAGGCGGGTGGATCACAAGGTCAAGAGATCGAGACCATCCTGGTCAACATGGTGAAACCCC